CACTATATGCCGAACTTTAAAATTATTAGTTCTGGTTAAGAAAAAAATTATGTTTTAGAAAATGTACTTCTGAGATAATATATTTTTAAATAATTCAGTATTTAGAAAACTGAACTGATCTTAGAAGATTATATTTTTATTTAATCAAAGACTTCTATCTGTATGAAAGAGGTAGAAAATGTTTTAAAAAATTAATTTATTCTCTTATGCAAACTAATATACTAATAATTTGACTAAAAGTCTGATTCCTGTGGTCAATACTTTCAAAGATTCCAAAAGATTGTAAAATTTCAACCTTTTCATTTTACCTCATTGAAAAATTGGAACATTAATCTTTGCTTACAAAGCCAAGGTAGTACAATAAATGAGCCACGAGTAAAGCCGGAGATGACTAATCCAATGATAGTCAGGTATATACTAAAACAAATTCCCTTTTTTTTAGTTAAAAATACTTTTTGATCTAAAGAAAATATTTTTATGCCAGGCCTGGTGGCTTATGCCTGTAATCCCAGAATTTTTGGAGGCTGTAACAGGCAGATCCTTTGAGCAACAGGAGTTAGAAATTAGCCTGGGCGACATGGCTACAAAAAATTTAAAAAATTAGCCTGATGTGGTGGCCCTTGCCTGCAGTCCCAGCTACTTGGGAGACTGAGGTGGGGAGACTGAGGTGGAAAGATTGCTTGAGTCAGGCAGAGGTTGCAGTGAGCTGAGATGGCCCCACTGCACGCCAGCCTGGGTGACAGAGCAAAATCCTTTCTAAATGTATATATACACACACACACACACACACACACACACACACGAGAGATAGAGATAGAGATAGAGAGAGAGAGAGAGAGAGAGAGAGAGAGAGAGAGAAAGAATCTAACCAAAACATTGTACTGCTTACTTTCAACATATTATAAATATTGAAAGTACCAAAGTAAAAAATATATCTGAAACTTCCATTTAAAGATTTATATACTAGAGACTATAACTTTAAATATAATTTTACATTTCAGAAATGTAGAAAAATTATAAGCAACTATTTGATATTACTGTGATCTGGGAAAAAAAAAAAAAAAACTTCCTGATCTTATTAGGTATACCACCCTTACCAAACATTTATACATTGATTAGAAAAATATTAGTGACTAGAAACATATTTAAAATAATGTCCTTATAAGAATATGCTTTTCTTTTACCACACATAATTTAACTCTAATTGAAATATATTCCTATAATGCCACCTTAGTGTCCATTCTGTAAGAATACTTTAAGGCATTTTAAGTAGTTCAATAACAAATACCCTTTGGATGGGATCCAAGGTGAACAATAAATACAAATTATGCTGATAATACCTAATGTCATGCTTCAAATTTTCCTTTTGTGGGAGTCAGAGGTTATTCTATGCACTTGAAAGTGCAATATTAAAATATGAGAAAGCTTGTCTTATAAGCCAAAGAAATTTCATTATTGGTGTGCTTGTTCTCTTCCCCAATTTAATGTAAGAAACTACTAGGAGGGGATATAAGAAAATCATCCCTCATGACATATAAGACAGATTCTTGCATTATAAATAGATGTCATATTCAAAGTCAAATTGAATAAAAATGAAAAACTGGTGAAAAAGTCAACTTCCAAAGGTCTTGCCAAGAATGTGAGATTCAGTAATTATTTTAATCGACAAATATATATCAAATTCCTCTTATGTGACAGGAACTGTGCTAGGTACTATAGTTACAATGGTAAATAAGTTAGATTTAGATCCTCTCTATGGAGCATATAGTCTAGGAGAATAGAAAAGCAAGAAACAAGAGAAAAAGATAATTACAGATGATGATAAATATAAAGTAAATAAACAGGTTGTTGAAGTATAGATAAATGGAAGGAAAGCCCAATTTTGGAAAGTCATTAAGTAAGGCATTCTCAAGTGTTTAACCTGACACCCTAGCTCACAGAAGTCCAATCACACAGGGATCTATAGGCCATACAACACTAATAATAATAATGAACACTCACTGAGTAGCACAGTAATAACTTTACATGAATCATCTTCTTAACTTTGCTACTATTATTCTCCAGAGAGATTAAGCAACTTGTTCCAGATAGACTCAGCTAGAGTAGGGAAGCCAGGATTTGACTCCAGGAAACGTGACAGCAACAGAGCCTTCTGGTTAATGCAATAAGGTATCATTTCAATGTTTTAAGTGGGAGTTGACATAATATCTTTTACTTTTAAGGTAAATAAGTAGATTCAAAATAGATTTTGGAGGTAGGATCAATAAGATTTGTTTATGGGTTGATTACAGGGTATGAGGGGAACGAGGAATCAGGTATGATTTTTAGATTCTCACTTAACTATGTAGGTAGGCAGTGATATCATTTGCTAAGAAGGGGTGAACAGAGTTACAGGGGAAAAAAATCAGTATATCTGAACTATCTAGCTAGAGGTTTAAATGTGGTATCACGATCATATAGATGGTATTTCAAACCAGGGTAATGGATGAAACTCCAGGAAGAGAGAAAAGAGAGAAAAATGAACAGAGGAAAAACAGCAGACAATGCAGGACTGAGCCTAGAGAATACGGACAGTCAGATGTTGTTAAGTGGAAAAGATGACAGAAAAAGAGACAGAGCAGTTAAGGAAAAGCCATGGAATGTTGTGTAATTTAAAGGTGAAGAGATTTTTCAAGAATGATGAAGTAGTCAACTTATACTGGGAGTAGCTGGGCAATGGAGTACAATGTGAACAGAGAAACATCCATTACATTGGGTAGCTTGTAGATTATCAGTATTCTTTTAAAAATTCTTGGTGGAGTGGTGAGGGGCAGAAACCAGACAAGAGTGGATAAGAGGGTGACTCTAAAGTAAGAAAATGATGACACTGTGAAGAAGTGCTTTGGAGAAGTCTGGTGATGAAGCAGAATTAGGAAATGAGCAGAAGCAGAGGGGAATATAGGTTCAATGGAGAATCTTTTTCTTTTTAAGGTAGGAGGTATGAGCATATGTTCGGTAAGGGTGGGATTGATCCAGCAGTAGTGAAGAGATTGAAGATGAGGAGACAGAGATTTGGTAACTAAAGGAAGAGAGGAATCACATGCTATCCGGTCTTTTGTGACTGGCTTTTTTGCTAAGCTTAGCAGATTCTCAAGGTTCATTCATGTGGCAGCATAGATCAATACGTCATTTCTTTTTATGGCTGAATAATATCCCACTATATGGATATAGCTGCACATACTCCTAGGAGTCATGTGCTGGGTCATATGGTGACTCTATGTATAATCTTTTGAAAAATTGCCAGACTCTTTTTCAAAGTGGCTGCACAATGTTCTTTTCCCACCAGCAACACATAAGAGATTCAGTTTTTCAAAATCCTCACTAAGATTTGTTATTAAGTGATTTTTTGAACATACCCATCCTAGTTAGTATGCAGTGATATTTCATTGTGGTTTTGCATTTCCCCAATGGCTAATGCTGTCAAGCAACATTTTAGTGTTTATTAGACATCTGTATATCCTCTTTGGAGAAGTGTCTATTCAGATTCATTGCCCATTTTTAAATGAGTTGTCTTTTTATTACTGAGTTGTAAAAGTTCTTTATATACATTGTAGATACAAAACCCTTATCACGGGGGTCCCCAACTCCTGGGCCATGAACCAGTACCTGTCCATGGCCTGTTAGGAACTGGAGCTGCACAGCAGGAGGTGAGTGGTGGGCCAGTGCACATTATCGTCTGAGCTCTGCCTCCTGTCAATCAGGCATTAGATTCTCATAGGAGTAAGAACTCTATTATGAACTGTACATGTGAAGGATCTAGGTTGCATGCTCCTTATGACACTCTAATTAATGCCTGATGATCTGAGGTGGAACACTTTCATCTTGAACCGTGCCCTGCCACCAAGGTCAGTGGAAACACTATATTCCACAAAGCCAGTCCCTGGTGCAAAAAAGGTTGGGGACCACTGCCCTATCAAATAATGATCTTTAAAAATTGTCTCCCATTCTGTTGGTCATCTTTTCATCTTCTTCATGGTGTCCTTGCACAAAGTTTTAATTTTTATTATGTTCAATTTATCTTTTTTCTGTTGTTCTTTTTACATTTGATATCATACTTAGGAAGCTATCATCTAATCCAAGCAGATTTACATCTATGTTTTCTTCTAAGTTCTTCTATGTTTAACATTTAAGTCTGATTAATTTGGAGTTTTTGTATGTGCTGTGAGGTAGCAGTTCACAAGTACCTTTTAATAATGTTTATCTTCTATCTTGATAATGTAAAACTTTTACACATATTTGATTCCAAAATGCATTCTTATCTCTTAAAAGATTTTGGTTACTAATTACTATTCTGTCTACTTTTCTATTATTGATAAAAGTGTTTGTCAACTCATTTTTTCTTTGTGACAGCTCAGTAATTTATAAAGTTTTATTTTATACTTTATTCCTTCCTTCAAATGTGCTAAAACATTGTGAAAATTAACATTTCTTTGGAACACAACTTTTTCATTATAAATTACTGTGATACAATTGCAAAGTAAACAAATGAGTTTCCATAAATCTAATTTATCTTTACTATTTTCCATAATTATTACTTCAAATTGTTGTTAAATTTTCAATTTTGTCTGAAATATCACATGTGTATTTTTAACTTAAATTTACTAATTATTTTTTAGTCTGTGGGTAAAGAGAAACCAAAAATTGAACAAGTTATTTCAGTTTTTACTTCACTTCTTATTTGAATGTCTTCCCAGTAACCTACTAAAACAAGTCTCTCTCTCACTTTTTTTTTAGCTTAGATTGTAATCATCACTCTGCCAACTTACCAACTCTGGCTATTTTCCAATTATACCCCAATCCCTAAGCCATGTAACGCTTCACAGTTTTTGTTTGTTTTTTCAACTGCTCATTAAGATGTCCTACACCTTAGCAAAAGGATCACATGAATTTCCTGAATGCTTTGGAGCATAGTCATGCACTCAAAATTTGTTTTATCTCTACTCCCACCTTTCCTCCACCCAAACTTATCCTTGGGTTTTCACTGATTAGTGCTTTCAAGCCTGCCTGCCTGCCTTAGTTCATGTAGCTCCTCCTCTGGTACTGGGGTAAACACCTGTATTACCATTTTAAAGGCTATCATTACTCTTTATCTGTGAAGAGCAGAACATGAAGAAACTTACTTTATTTTGATAGTCTCTAGATTCCTAAAGATTAGAGATCATTTCTCATTCTTCTAGGAGTACTTACTTCAGGAAGAATCCAGATAAAAGGTAAGGTACAAATACTCTTTCTAATAGTTTGTTTGTATTTTACAAATCTAATCTTATGAATACATTTGACTTGACTAGAAGTTTGCAATCAAATTTAATTGGAATTAAGAAGTTTCTTTGGTTTCATCTCAGTAAAAAAAACAGTGTAAATAGGGGAGAAAAAAGATTTTTTCTCCACATTTTTTAGTTAACTTCTAAGATAAAACTCTGAAATAACTCCCTACTTACTTCCTTTCTTAAGAGCTACAAAGCCATTGTATTCACATTTAAATCCTATTATTCAATAAATGTGTATGTGTAGATACATATATATGAACACTGTACACTAAGCCTTGTTTCTGTTTCAAGAGTGTATGTTTATGTATTGTTACAAGAATATTTTTACTCCATGTACTTTTTTAGAGCTGAATCATTTCCTTTCTATGAAAAAGCATGGTTAACACTTAAGAACAAGGCAGAAAGCATTTCCCTTTAAATATTTAAACTACTTTTTCTAAAAATAATCTATTCAAGAATTATTTCTACCCGTCCCGATCATTTAAACATAGAAACAAGACTAACGATTTAGAGAGATTATTAATGATTTAATTTATATTTGGAAAAGACTATCATAACTTTGATTCAATATGGTAATTGCATAGGAAATGACTACTATGCAAACTTGATTTTGATTTCATTAATATAGGATTTTTAGATTTGAGCTACTAGATTCTGATACTATTCTTTCTTTCCATTTTCAAAGCCTTAGTATCCTCAATACTTATTATCTTTCATAATTAAACTTAGTAGTAATGATAAACAATTGTTTTATATTATAAAGTGAATTTCAAATGTTTATCTTTAGAAATATCTCAAGAGTGTCATGTTGCTTGAAAAGAACTCATTAAGTATATATCAGATTTACTTTATGCAAATATTTCTTTTAGCTAAAAGTCCTTCTATCCTGGTCCAACTTATAATTATGACAATTCTTTGTATCTCAATATTAAAAGTTTACTATTATATTACCAATAAAGATAGAGGCAACTAAATGAAGATACTTAATTAGTACCAGCTAGTTAATTGAAAGAATGTACATAATTAATGCCCAGATTTTCTCAAAATCCAGAATGTCAAACACTGCATTAGGATGTGGAAGTTAGCCAGGCGCAGTGGCTCACACCTGTAATCCCAGCACTTTGGGCTGAGGCGGGCAGATCACCTGAGGTCAGAAGTTCGAGGATAGGGAAGTTAAGATCTCAGAAATGGGGCTTGTTTATGCTTATTTTTTTCTATCAAAAGTAGTTCATAGTTGTAAGCATTTCCTTTTCTTTCAGAAATATGATTAATGAGATAGAAAAAAGAATGGTAATTTAGAAATATCTCAGGCAGCTCCGCCCAGCAGAACCTATTGTGATGAGGAAAACACTCTAAATTTGTCCAATTGTATAACCATTAGCTACATGTGGCTATGGGACATCTGAAATACGATACAGTATTTAAGAAACTAAATTTGTAATTTTATGTGATATTAATTTTAATTTACATATGGCTTATGTTAGTGGCTACTACATTAAACAGTTTAAGTTATTAAAATTATTAAATCTTTTCTTTTACAAATACTTTTGATATGGAGAAAAGTGGCTTCTTCAACAGCTACAAATAAAGATCAGTAGATGAGCACTAATTAGGAACGACTGTTGTCCTAATATGTGCCTTTTTTCTACCATCATAAAAAATTAACAAAGTCCTATTTTTCACATGGCACAGGATGTCATCTTTATGCAATCCAAGAAAAACAATGGTTTAGATTGTCCTAAAAAGACAAGCAATCATTAATGATACATATGAATTAAAGAAGTAAAGTATTAATTTATATTCTTTGAAGGCAAAAACATAAGCAAACATTGTGGTGGTGAAACGAGAAGAGATTCTATTGAAATTTCATAGTTAAATCTTCAAATCCATCAGGGAACAGTCTATAGGGCAAATGAAGCTTCAAGAGTTGAAAGAGTACGAATCAGAAATGATGTAGAAAAAGGATATTCCAGGCATTCTGTGCATCTTTTTACGGAAAGGTAGATAGATGTTTAATTGACAAATTACATTTTCCTAAGAAGACAGTAGATTTATTTCAGGAGTAAGAAAAGGAGGAAATAAAATGGTTGAGGACTTTAGAAGTTGATTCTTCATCCTATTCTGATTTCTAAGTCTTTAGATGATTCTTTCAAATATATATTAGAGAATTAAAAGGACTTTTAAACCTGGTTGTTTTGAAGTCTCTCAGAGCTGTAGAGATGTATTCAGATAAATGTTTTTCCATGAGTGCTACTCTGATCCAGGCTCTACCCTAAAAGGAAGAAGAAAGAATCAAATATAAAAAAATTAAAAAAAATATTTTGCCACTGTGCCATCAAAAATATAAGTATTTTAATATGTAAAGAACAGTCATTCAAAATATACATTTGATAATGACTAGGAAAAATATTTAAGTAGATAAAAATAGGTAAATTTTGATTACCTACAGTATATATTTTGTTTCTCTGAAGATGTAGGGTACAGCATGTCAAACTAACTTTCTATCCTCTGAAGGGACAGAACATTAATACTGAGTTACTTGGGTTAGAGATTCTTTTGAATTACCTAATGTAATTATATAAGACAAAACTCTCTGCTTCAAAACCCCACATCAACATGCTAACTAAAATGAGACCTTTCATAAATAATGAAAAACAGACTTCTCACTCGTTAATAAAAATAATCAGTCTAATACTACTTAAGAAAATTTTCAATCCTATCCTTCCTGTGGGAGGTTTTATACAACTAGGAATAAAATCCAAATTTCAAGATTTATCATGAATCCAAATCATGAGCTATTGAATTTGGTGCACCCAGGGAATTCTAAAACTATTACAAAATATTTAAACTAGAAAAACAAACAACAACAACAAAAAAACAGAAGCCAATATAATCTAGCACAGAATCACAGAAACAGACAATTCTTACTAAATGCAATTAATTTTCTTATGGACTTTCTATTTAGAATGAAAGAATATAAGAAATCATATTTGTAGTGAAAATTTTATAATTCAATTATTTTCATTTTCACTCAACTCACAAATTTCCAAAAAACTTCATCGAGACAATATATAGAAAATCAAAACACTGCAATGGCAGTTGCAAATAAAGGTGATGCTAATCAATGTATGTGATTGTCAACTACCAGAACGGGGGAAAAAAACGTACTCTAGAAACGTCTACAGGTCTAGTGAATTCACCAAACTCTTGGATAGGAAAGGTCACGAAGGAGTCAATCTAGGCAGTGGTTAAAATCTGTCAGGCTAGAGGCAGCAGTACTACTACTGGGAAGAAAATGAATCATATGGGTGTGTTTAGCATGCCAGTCAATTTGCCTACCAAGCTCAACATCCCTTTTAGCTTGCCCTGTGCTCAGTCCATTGTCCATTCTGAGTAAGCCTAGGAGAACCTACAGTTAGCTGTGGCTGACTGCAACAGAGGAAGGAAGAGGCAAGTCACTGGCTGGCCAGTAGTCTCAAAATTCTCTCTTGAAATTTTATCTAAAAGACATGGAAACTAGTAGTGGTGTCTTGAATTAAAAGGCTACAATTTCACCAATGAAGTCAGGAAAGTTGCTCTCCAGAGAAAATTCAGCACAGGAGACTATGTTGTTACTAGATAAGAAATGCAGGGAAAGTCTTCCTTCCTGATTTATTAATTTCAGTCCATACAAAACTGGGCTGTGTTTAGTTTCCTGTATTTGAATGTGTATGAAATTCTGTTATATTGTGAGGATAAGTTGTGCTAATTTTAACGGTTTCTTTTCTTTAACAAAGGAACTTTTACTACAAGAGAAGATAAACAGACTTATAAAGGTTGTTTGGGCCGAGAAGCAGAACAACTAAACATGAGGTTTAGGAATTTAGACCTTTTCAGTTTATAATGGTGATTCATAAAATGAAGATTTATGAAAAAATGAATAAGTAAAAGTAGTCAACATTTAAAAATATAATTAATATGTGCTAAGCCCTGTTTTAAGAGTTTTATATACATTAAGAAGATAAGTAATCCTCCCAATAATTTACATTACAATACTATTCCTACTTTATGCAGAAATGAAAAACAGACACAATTAGAAGGGAAGAAATTCATTTTCTCACTACCAAACTGACCAACCTAATTATGTTAATGCCTATACACTCTACCTTCTTTCCTGTTTCAGGGGATGAGCTGTCAGCATTTAAAAGCGTTAAAAAAAAAAAATGGGGCAGCAGCACAGAGTGGGAAAAGATATTTAAATTATAAATATCTGACACACAACTCTTACCCATAAAATACAATGAATTCTTAAAAACCCATAAGAAAAAGACAATTTAAAAATGTGCCTGCAATGGGATGATTTTTAACTATAGATTACATTTCTTTAGCAAGTATCAGATATTCAGATGTTTCCATCCTTTTTGTGTATAGTTTTGGTGAGTAATTTTTTAAAAGGATTGTACCATTTCTTCTAAATTTTCAAATTTATATAATTGATGTGAAGTTATTCATAATATCCTATTAGAATTTTTAATGTCTGTGAGGTATACAGGGTTGGCCTCTTCTTCATTCATCATTCTGGTAATTTATATTATCTTTTGATCTTCTTGAATAGTTTTGCTAGAAGCTTATCAATTGCATTAATCTTTTTAAAAACACTTTGATTTTCTTCAATTGTATATTTGTTTCAATTTTATTGAATTTGTACTGTTTTTTCCCTTCTACTTTGAGTTTAATGTATTTTTATAGCTTCTTGAGATGAAAGTCTTGATCACCAATTTCCAGCCTTTATTCTTTTTTAAAATACACAAAAGCCTATTTAAGCCTATTCCTCTAAGCAGAAGTTTTTATATGTTGTATTTTCATGATCAGTACTTTCCAAATATTTTTCAATCTCAATTGTGATTTCTTTTTCATTCGTGAGTTATTTAGAAGTCCTCCTCAATTTCACTCATATAAACATT